AACATGCTCCCAACGGCACCAAAGAAAATCGCCGCACACCCAGACAATCTCGAAACTCGGAGAAAATCATGGTGGGTAGTCCCTTGGTGAAAATGTCAGCATACTGTAATGAAGAAGGCACATGAAGGACTCGTATCTGACCAAGGGCTACTCTGTCTCGCACGAAATGAATATCTACCTCAATATGCTTTGTGCGCTGATGTTTAACTGGGTTGGCCGAAGGGTAGACAGCACTGATGTTATCACAGAAGACCAGTGTGGATCGCATCAGTGGTTGCCGGAGTTCTAGAAGAAGATTGCGCACCCAACAGACTTCAGCGACAGCATTAGCGACAGCTCGATATTCTGCTTCAGCACTGGATCGAGAGGTGGTGAGTTGTCGCTTAGACGACCAGGAGATGAGATTGTCGCCTAGAAAAATGCAGTAATCGGATGTCGATCGACGAGAATCTGGGCAGCCAGCCCAGTCAGCATCAGAGTATGCCCGCATATGATCTATCTGAGATGGTGAGATGGTGATGCCATGTGTGGGTGTACCGTGAAGATAGCGCAAGACGCGCTTCATGGCCGTGACATGCGGCACTCGAGGATCATGAAGGAAGAGACATAACTCCTGTACGGCATAGGTAATATCCGGGCGTGTGAAGGTGAGGTACTGCAGCGCTCCCACAATAGAGCGATAGAGAGAGGGATCAGGCGCTGGAGGACCAATGGTGGCCGAGAGCTTCCCGCGGGTGTCCACAGGTGTAGAAACGGGTTTGCACGAGGTCATGCCTGCCCGCTCAAGGATGTCATAGATAAATTGAGTCTGAGTGAGGAGTAGGCCGTGAGATGTCCGTTGGACATTGATCCCAAGAAAGAAGTGAAGGTCACCCATATCTGTCATAGCAAACTCCCCTTTTAGTCGTTCTGTGAGCTGGTGTAGTAAGGCAGTGGATGATGCAGTGAGGACAATATCATCAACATAGAGCAGAAGTAGGGCCATGTCCTGACCGCGACTGTAAACAAACAAGGAGGCATCACTCTTACACCCACTGAAGCCAAGAGAAAGAACAAATCCTGTGAATCGCTGGTACCAAGAGCGGGGGGCTTGCTTGAGTCCATAGAGTGCCTTATTTAATTTGCAGACATAATGTGGGCGAGCAGGGTCCTGAAATCCTGAAGGCTGAGCGGTGTAAACAGTGTCTGAGATGTAGCCCTGCAAGAATGCATTTTTGACGTCGAACTGGTGGATCGGCCATCCTTTGGACACGGCTAGGCTCAAAACGATGCGTATAGTGGCCGGTTTGACAACCGGGCTGAAAGTCTCGTCGTAGTCGATGCCATGGCGTTGGTTGAACCCACGAACAACCCATCGGGCTTTGTACCTGGACAGTTCACCTGTTGGGCCAAGTTTGTGGCGGAAGAGCCATTTTCCGGAGATCACATTTTGATTAGGGGAGGGGGGTACTAGATCCCATGTATGATTAGCTATCAAGGCATTATATTCATCTAGCATAGCATTGTACCAGTTAGGATCTTTGAGAGCACTACGGTAGGTAGGGGGTATGGGGGAGAT